AAGGGAAACACAGCTGAGAGACTTGAGTTGTGTCAGTAAAGCATAAATACAATGAGACGTACCTCAGATTTTGAGAGTTATTCCACTCTCCTGCATCACATCATCTCGCTGAGCAAAAGGCAGGAGGAATGAATATAATTTCCACCTGTATTTCTTTATGAGATGAGTTAATGAGTTTCTGCTGTCATTTGCGGTGAGAAATATGGAGAGCACATATTATTTTCAGGATCTCAAGAGTGTGAGAAAACTTCAGAAGCATGAAATATCTCCCCCCCCCCTCCCCTTTGCAAGCCCTTTTGTGCAGTTGTTTTATAGCCAGCAGGAGGAAACTGTTGGAACTTTCTCTGAGAATTGATGACTGCTGGTAAAAGAGATCCTAACGATTTGGGTCACTTTGAATTATAAAAGTAATCACCGTACTTCTGACTGTTAGCTGTTCCCAGAGTACAGTGTTGGAAGTGTCAAGCCCAAATGATGTGCAGTGCATTTAGATAACCTCTGGCTCGAGACACTTCTGTCTATAAGGTCATACCCCACTGATAAGAAGAGCAGAAGCCCAGTGGAGCATCCTGGGCAGCCATGGCCATCCACACGCATGCTGGTCAGGCTGATGGGAAGGATCTTTCACTTTATGACTACCAAATTATTTGTTATTATGCTTAGAAAAGGTGATACTGCAGGCTGCATGCTTTGGATTCGCCATCCTTGGAGGTGTCCAAAGGATACTGAACATGGTCCTGGACAAGCAGCTTGTGGTTGGTGACCTTGCATGTAGCAGGGGGTTGGAACTAGATGATCACTGTGGTACTTTTCAACCCAGGCCATTCAATGATTGTATGATTGTCTGTGTGGCCCTGCTTGTGCAGGACAGTTGGAGGAGATGGCCTCCAGAGATCCCTTCCAAGTGCACATCACAGTAAAGGAGAGGAGGAGGCACCCCAGGATCTTCCCAGAGCTGTACAGTGGAGAAGGCTGAGGCATTTACACTGACTATTCACCTGGAAGGAAAAGCCCCAGATATGAGCCATAAAGAGGGCAAAATGTTATGTTACAAAGTCACTGCCTTCATGTTCAGCACAGTGCAGTGCTTACATGTAACAGGAGGGAGTGCCAGAGGAGCCCTGCTTGGTGCATCTTAATTATATTCTATTTCTTCATTATCTTTTAGAAAGCTCTCACTTCCAATTACACATCAAGCTAGTGAGTTCTGTGTCCTCCTGGCAAGAAATTGCTAAAACCAAAACCCACCACCTCTCCTGCAAACAAACAAACAAACAATCATGCAAACCAGCTTAATTGGGGGAAGGCAGCCCTTCACACACTCAGCCAGAACTGCTGCTGTGGAGCTGGGCAGACCCCAGCCATGGCCAGGACACTGCTGGCTTTGCCCCATTTCCTTCATCAATGTCCATAGAGCATAACTTCATTGTGACTTTATGAACAAGTGGAATTACAAGCCCAAACATCTTGGCAGCATTAGGCAAAACAGGTCATCTGTTTAGCACAGACTGCAGTGCCATAAGAAAAGACTGAAAATACAATATGGAAAAATGCTAACAGTTGCTAGTGGGAAAAAAATCCCCATTTTTGAAGAACACAGCAAGGAAATTGTAAAGCCCATGGAGCAGCATGGATCTCCCTGCTGCATGTCTCTGAAAGGACAAAGTTTAACAGCAGTGAGAAAATCACAGGCGTGGTGCTTGGCACAGGAGAAGCTTTATTTAAATTAAATAGGATTACCAACATCTTCAGTCCATTTTCCTTTTCTCAGTATGTAACACTGTGTGTCACAATGTGTTTTATCAGCAACGTATATCCACACAGGAACAAAGGGAAGTGATCTGATGTCAGAATGCCTAAAACCCATACCTACGTTGCAGATGTTAGCAGGGATGTATTCAGTCTTTTCCAGGCTTTGCCCAAAGTCCCTTCCTTTTAGATAAAAAAGGACTAACCTGAATGTACCTACAGTCAGGATTTATAGGATTAAGCACATCCAATGAATGTGTTTGCACCCAAAGAGTCACTGATATATTGATCCCAGTGTAAAAGTGCATTTCCACTCAGAGGGTGGTGAGGCACTGGCACAGGTTGCCCAAGGAGGCTGTGGATGCCCCATCCCTGCAGGCATTCAAGGCCAGGCTGGATGTGGCTCTGGGCAGCCTGGGCTGCTGGTTGGTGACCTGCACACATCAGGGGGTTGGAACTGGATGAGCACTGTGCTCCTTTGCAACCCAGGCCATTCTGTGATTCTGTGATTCTGTGATCTTCCAGCATGATCCAGCAGGGTTTGAGATGTGATCTAGGAATTATATCCCCAGTAACATGTACAAGTCTGAAAATAGAGCAGAAAAAGTCCAGCATGACTTAAAATGCAAACATCTACAGTGAACTGCCCAGACTGGTGCAAGGTGCCCATCTCTGCAGGAACCAAATCATGTTCCACATCCTCAGTGATGCTCCTGCCCAGCAGCATTCTCTCTGTGCTCCCACACTCCCCACCCACGAGAGAACAGTGTGTGGAGTTGTGTTATCCACACAGTGTATGGACATTAAACGTGGATAGCAGGTGATGCATTTCATCTTCTACAGCGTGGTGCCCTCAGGGGCAGCTGGGATTTATTTGCCTTGCTGTCAGCACGCCCAGGGCTCACTCTGTAGCAGGACTGGCATTTCTTTGCTCCATGAGTAATTCCCAGAGTAATTCTAAGTAAAATGTGTCCAAATCATCCTCCCAACCAGCAAGCAGAGGCTGTGCCCCATGGAATCCCCTCAAGGACCAAACAGAAGGCGGTGTGGGTACTGCCACTAAGTTGTGGTTATATTTCTCCATTTAAAATTTGGATGGATGAAAAACACAACTGAGGTAGATTTTAAAGAGGTGCAATTATTAAAAGTTGCATTCAGTATCTGATATGTATTTCTGTGGCAAAAATTAAGGCTGCATCCTGTTGTTTGAGCAACAAGGCACTCTTGTTCTGGCAGGCTGACCACATCTCTTCTGTACCTCGTGGCCAAATCTTGAGATAATCATTTCAGGGTGGTGCACTGAAAATGGGGAGAGGTGTCATGATACCAAAGGAAATTACTGAACGCCTAAAATGGACTAAAATAAGCAAATGGGAGCTTGAACTGGAAAGGAGATCTCCAAATCTGTTGACGTTTCCAGCAGGACCAGAAGTACAATTCCTCATCTCTGCTCCCAGTAAGAGGAGCCTTGGACCACGAGCAGTGTCTTTCAGGGCTTTTCCAACCTGAGCAGTTCTATCATTCTATGATAAAGATGAGAGCTACCAGGGGACACCAGAGGAGTTCAGGCTACTAACATTCGCAGAAAAAGAATTCCTGCTGCCTTGCATGTGCCTTTCCATTAATGAATTTTGACATATGGAGGTCGAATTTTCATTACCAGGACGTAATTTAAGGAGATCCCAGCAAGCAGCTTGCTACAGCCCCCATTCCTATGCTCCTTTTGCTGTTGGCAGACTTTTCTTCTGCATGTGCAGTTATTTTCTTTAAAAGGGAGAACTAAACAACAATTCTTTGAATGGCTAGCACTTGAAATTGCTCAAAAAAAAAAAAAATGGAAATAGCCATTGAATGACATCCAGTGCCAGTGAGAGCACTGTGTGCTTTAGCAAGCAGGCAGAAGTGTTGCAGGCTGGTGCTTGTGTCCCGTTCCCCTGACTGGATCCCAGTTGTTTTATAGCTCTGCTCTGCAATCATCACATGGGTTCCAGCTCAGCCACTTACCAGTGCACCTATTCATGATAAAAGCCCAGCTGAGGAAAAGCTTTGAGCAACTCCTTGATGTTAAATATTGAAATCTAACCGCCTCAGTGGGAATTAAATTAAGCACATGCTGTTCTTAATAGGTATGATTTTCTGAACAATTTCTTCCACTAAAAAAGGACAAAATCTCTCCCGTAAGGTTGTATGAAGTAGTCAGAAACCACGATTACCTGGTTTGCAGTCCTGAATCACCAGCTTCAAAACCTGCTTTCATCTATTGTATCTTAACAAACCGTGAGCTGTTTAATTATCTCATTATAGAAGCAGAAGTGTGAAAAAGAAGTGCAAGGGAAAGCCATGAGTCTGGTCAGGATTACAAGGGGAACCTGAAGGGTTGACTCCAATGAATCTGAAACCTTTAATTAAAGTATTAAAAGTCTCCATTCTGAAGGCTGTTTCCGTCTTCATGGCAACACAAACCCATCTGCCCCAAGGCTTCCCGTGTGCTGGGTTAACACGCAGCTTGGGCAGCCCAGCCATTGGCTCTGAGCTGTGGTAACGTTCACCTACACACCTGGGCACCATAAAGAACTTTTAAATAGCCATTAATTATATTCAGGCTTAAGGAAAATTGTCTTTATGCAAACGAGAAGCTCCAGAGTAGAGTTATAGGACATTTCATGAAATCTCAGATAAAATTTATTGATCTTTCGGAAAACACTTCAAGGGAAAAACCACCTCCGAGCGAACAGTAAAGGACTATGCTTATTGTAAAACTCATAGCTAAAATACAACTGAAAATGGGGAGCTTCAGATCAGGTATAAGGAAGCAACTGTTCACTGTGAGGATGGCACTGGCACAGTGTGCATGTGGAGTGGTGGGAGATGCCCCTGCCCATGGGTGGTACCGAGTGGCTTTTAACATCCCTTCCAACTCAAGCCTTTCTTTGACCCTGCCATTCTAATACAGGTTGTCTTGGGGCAACCTATTTCCTATGTTCCTATAGGAACAGGTTGCCCAAGGAGGCTGTGGATGCCCCATCCCTGCAGGCATTCAAGGCCAGGCTGGATGTGGCTCTGGGCAGCCTGGGCTGCTGGTTGGTGACCTGCACACAGCAGGGGGTTGGAACTGGATGAGCACTGTGCTCCTTTTCAACCCAGGCCATTCTGTGATTCTATGATACTACCAACCAATTATTCAGCAGCTGATACATCTGCATTGGCTTTTATGAGGCTGAAGAAAAATTAATGTGTTAATCTTAGCAAAACATTGGAAAACGCCTGAGCTTAACGTGTTTGGACCCTACCTGAGTAGCAGCACTGTGCAAGTTAAGATCTCAATGAAAATAAAACAAAATGTACCAGTTCTGTCAAAATCTGACATTCATAAACGAACTAAGATGTTGACAGAGACAGCAGGATGAAATCACTCAGCAAGCACAGCAATAATCACGCTCAAGTGAAAAATCTTCCCTTCTTCTGTCTGGGTATATGGATGAGAGAGAAGTGCTTTCCTTAAAAAAAAAAAAAAAGATAAATAGCTTAGTCATGTATTGTCATTTTGAAAGAAAAATGTTACTGTGAGCTGCTGAAAAGATCAGATTAATGCTTTTAGGCAGATGAATACTGGGGCACGTGAAGATTACACGCTCCTGTAACATTCACACACTGCAGCAGAAAGGACTAAGGAGACTGCAATCCCCATTAAGGACATACCACCAAAGCCAACACCAGTCTCATCTTCCCTTCAGCTCTTGTCTGATTGATGGCAAGACAGTGGCTAGAATACTTAAACTCAGATTCAACATAGAGATTTATTTGTGAGGAAAGTATCTTTATCGTAGAATCATAGAATGGCTTGGGTTGGAAGGGATCTCAAGGATCATCAAGCTCCAGCCCCTCTCCTGCATGCAGGGCCACCAACCTCCACATTTAATACCAGACCAGGTTGCCCAGGGAAAGCCCACCCAGTGGTCTTTAATCATAGGCGAGGTAAGAAACCCTGAATTCCTCAAGAACTCAGAAATCCCACTGGAGCTCCCAATTAACGCGACTTCAAAACATGTAGTTGCAGAGCCTGGATTTAGAACAGACTACAATCCAGTGTGATATGTGATGATATCACCTAAACAGTCCGGCTGTACAGAACCTGACAGTACCTGTTTTGCCAAAAAGTCCTGGGAAGCAAAGTTGTGATGCAGTAAGGCATAGGGGAATCGTAATGGTTAGTAACGATGAGATGCATGCAAGTGCTAGACCTGATGGAAAAGGGAACAAAACGTAGAAATAAACTTGATTTACCACTTTTGGGTTGCATTCATTATGGACTTCTCTTGGTAAGAACAGAGAATTGTTGCCTTTGATGTAAATAATATTAAAACAAAAGGAATCAAATTCAGTAAATCAACCATAGCTGACGATTTGGAAATTTTCATAGGAAATGAAAGTTCTCTCTCCAGCTCCTGCTCTGCCCTGCTCAGACAGCATGGGCTGCAGAGCCAGCCCTGTTGGTGCTGGGAGCTCACCAGGCTTTTCCTTTCCTCCCATTAATTCAGCAGACGCCCTGCAGGCACTGCTTGCACGCAACTGAAATTGCTTGCACCCCTGGGAGAGGGAAGGAGGTCACTGTGCCCTCCCAGCCTCGCCCAATGCCTCTCATCAGGGAGAAGTGCCAGGGATGAGAAGCAGATCACGCCTGGCTGTTCTTTGTGAAGATGGCCATTGTCTGTGAGCAGCCCCTTCTTCTACACTGACCCACGTGCTGCCCAAGGGTAAAGAAAAGGGGGCCTGAAGCTGGCTGGATAAAGCCTAAGCCCTCAGTTTCAGCTCTCAATAGTGCTCCAAAGCCGTTGTCATTTGTTGCCAGTGCTACTCTGTGAAAAGCAGAAGATAGGAAGCGTAACAGAAGCTGGATGAATAATCATTTCAAGCCATCAAGTAAGTAAGTTCCTAACATTTCCATTGCATATTAGTGTAAGTCCAGGCCTCCAGCACGCTCTGGTTTAACTGCATTGCAAACGCTCAGTCTTGCTCTGTGTGGGCCATCCTGCTGTGTGTGCAGTTGTGTCCCTCTTGCACAAAGCAGAGGAACTCCTGCAGGTCTTCTCAAGCTAAATCAGTCTGGTTGGGTTGGCACTGCAGAGTGTGACTTTGGCCATAGAGTGCGTTTGGGAGTGTGGGGAGGCTGAGAAGGCTGTCAGAAGCTTGAGCCGTATGAAATCAGCAGCAAATCACTTTGTGTGTCACAGCAGGACACGTCTCACAGGATGCTGTGCTGTTGCACACCTATGGGACACCAGGTCCAAGCAAGGTTTGACCACAGCACATCACTGTACTGGCAGCCCTTTTCCCTCCAGCCCACAGCTGCCCTGTTGAGAGCATGGAACAGGTTGCCCAAGGAGGCTGTGGATGCCCCATCCCTGCAGGCATTCGAGGCCAGGCTGGATGTGGCTCTGGGCAGCCTGGGCTGCTGGTTGGTGACCTGCACACAGCAGGGGGTTGGAACCAAATGATCACTGTGGTCCTTTTCAACTCACGCCATTCTATGATTCTATGACTGAGCAGAGCTTTGTCACCTGATGCCTTTACTTAGGGGCATTGCCACTTTTTTGCCACAAGCAGACTGAAACACATACTTATTTTCACCAAGAAATTCACAAATTTGTAACATCCTTTTTTGTTGCAAAGACAAAAGGCTCCTTCCTCTTTGCTCTCTGCATGACACTCTGAGCACAACCTTCAGCCACCTGGAAAAAAGGAGCCTGAAATGCAGCTGATCACCAAACTAACATCCCTTGCTCCCTGTCATGCAGGACCTGGAAGTTACCCTGCCGAAATGAGACTTGAGCTTCAAGTCTCAAGTATCATTCTCCAAAGAAATAGGAGGTACAATTTAAATGTCTTCTTGCTGGAAAATAACGACATAAACAAGCAGGTTATACCTGGAATACCTTAAAAGCAACTCTGGAGTTGCTGTTTTTACAAACAGCAGAAAAGGAAATCCTACTGCATAAAAATCACATGGGATTTTGACTGATGAGTACAGTTGCCTATTGCCTTTACTTACAGTCTACTGAATTTGGATATTTGTGAACCAGAGGTTTTGTAATCCTACTTACTACTGAATGGACCATCAAAAGCTTTGATCACACAGCTGGCTCTCTACCAGGGATTTGCATTTCCAACACAGCTTATGGCTTCATGCAGTTTGCTTACCCTGTCTTTTGGTCAAACTTGCTTTACAGTTCCCTTATAATGGAAAAAATACCACCCTAGGTTTCTGTTTCAGGGGTGTTTTCCTAACAACCACAGCAATAAAACACTGTTAGATAAATTTTTGTCCTAAGCAAGGAGTGGGATGGAGGACACAGAACCAGAAAGGAAAGGCAACAGGTTATAGAACTCAGTTTGGTTTTCTTCAAACTCCACGACACCCAAAGAACAAACAGAAAGCTGGGCAGGGGAAGCACACCCTGAGCAGGTGGCCAAAATCCTCTTGTTTCAGATATTTAATAAAAATGCAGATGTCGCATCGTTTTGAGGCTTCGTAAAGATACAGAAACTCCGTGTCTGTGTGACAAAGTGGGTAAACCAGAGGCATTTTAAACAAACAGCTCAGTCTGCACAGGGACACACGCACCGCAGGCTGTCAGCACCCTGCAAGCACTCATCGTGGGGGCCAGCAGCAAACCCAGCAATTAAAGGGCTCCTCAGCAGGGATCTGGCATCATTTTGGATGCTCGATTAAATCTGAAATTCTTTGGATAAATTATCATCAGCTCCACAGGCTGACACAAAGATCATCTTTTGTGTTTGGGAAAATAAAGGGGTTTTATTCAGAAATGCCATAGAGGATGTGGGGCTGGCTGCCCCACACGCCATGCCCAGTTCCAGGGGCACGTCCCGCTGTCCCTCCCCACTCAGTGAGCCCAACACCACCCCAACTACAACTGAGAGCTGGGCCTTGCAGTGAGGGCATCCCAGCTGCACACCTGGACAGAGGAGAGAAAGGCACCTCGGGCATCCACGGGACAGGAGGTCAGCGGGCAGGGCTGGGATAGGCTGCTCTTGTCAAGGGGGAGGGAAAGCCACCATCCCACCCAGCTCACATCATGGTGATTCCTTTCAGTATCTAATGGGGGGCTGCAAGAAAGAAGGGGACAGACTCTTTAGCAGCAGCATCTGTTGCGATAGGTCAAGATGAAGTGGTTTCAAACTAAAAGATGGAAAGTTTAGACTGGATATGAGAGGGCAGTGAGGCACTGCATGGGCTGCCTAGAGAGGTGGCAGCGATCCCTGCAGACACCCAAGGTCAGGAGCAGGGCTCTGAGCACCTGATGGAGCTGTGGGTGTCCCTGTACACTGCAGGGGGTGGCATCAGATGGCCTTTAGAGGTCCCTTCCGACTCAAACCATTCTATGAATGTTCCACCATGACTCGTGCGTTGGATGCTTTTGAGTCCCAACAGGGAGCGCTTCCCACAGCCCTCCCGCCTTCATTCACCCTAAGCACACACACATCCCACTCTTTCTCTCATCTCTCCATTTATAGACCTACAGAAATGTACAGTTACGCATCGCAAAAACACTCCTTCCTCCTCCATCTCAGTGCATCTGGCCGTGCCCGGGGGCTGCGCTCACACGGGAGCCCCCCACAGCCCCACCGCCGTCTCCAGCCTCCGGACGCCTCTTCCTCTTCCTCCTGAAGTTGCCGTTATCGAAGATTTTCTCGCAGTTGGGGTCCAGCGTCCAGTAGTTGCCTTTACCTGCAGATGGGAGAGGAAAGGTGCGGCGCCCATCGCTCCGGCCCCGACCCACGGGCAGCACCGCTCCGCCCGCCCCGTCCCCACCCTCCGCCTTACCCGGGTCATCCTCGTCCCGCGGGACCTTCCTGAAGCAGTCGTTGAGGGACAGGTTGTGTCGGATGGAGTTCTGCCAGCCCGCCTTGCTCTTCTTGTAGAAAGGGAAATTCTCGGCCACGTATTGGTAGATCTGGCTGAGGGTCCTCCGTCGGCCCGGCGCGCTGTGGATGGCCATGGCGATGAGTGCCGAATACGAGTAGGGCGGCCGTGCCGGGCGGGGCCCCTCGTGCTGCGGGAGCGGCGACGTCCAGCCCCGCTCTGGGCACGGCGGTGGGAACGGAGCGGCGGGCGGGTAGGGGGCGGCGGGGCCGCCGAGCCACGCGTAGGGACCGCCGGCGGGCGGGCGGAGAGCCGCGTCCAGCAGCTCCCGGGCGAGGGGCGGCTCGGCGGGAGGCCCGAAGGCGTGCATGCTCCGGCGGCACCGAGCTCAGCCCGGCACCGAGCCGCCTGCCCCGACGGCGCGGCCGCACCCCGCCCGCTTAAATAGCGCCCGCGGCCCCTCCGCCAGCACCGCGCTGCCCCGAGCCCGGCTGCGGGAGGGCCGCCCCCGCCCCACGCGTGTCCGCTCCCCCGGAGACCCCTCCTTCCGCACCCTGCCGTGCCCCTGCTAGGATTGCCACGAAGGCACGTGAGCTCCTAATGCTGAATATCCCGAATTGGAGCCGTGCCCACCCGCAGGTTGCCCACCAGCACCAGGCAGAGCTGCGGCACGCCGATGAACGGGGGCTGTCTGCTCACCCTGCTGCGAGAGCTGGAACTGCTTTCATTTCGTACTGCTGGTAGTAAACTTCGGGCTGAATTTGTACTCTGCTTTGGTCGATGCCAACCCACGTGCCTGACATCCTATAAACACTTTGCTTCTGCATCTCTTGTTCTCCTGTAACAACATTCTTTTGGGTTATGCTTTTCCTACCGATCTTAAAGCAGTGAGAAGGAAATCATCTACAATTGTTCTTCTCTGCCAGAAGATGTAAATTGATGAAAACTCGATTTTCAGTTGCACTTCTGAACTTTCTCTCGCTTTAGAATCCATCCATCTTTTAGAAATTTCACACCATTCCCGAGACATACAGAAATAAGGCGTGGATTTAGCAGCAATCGTAGTTATAGAGAGGTAAAGGTGAATGGGCTCCTGACCGTGGTAGAGAATTCAAACAGCTGAGGTGGCTTCCCATACCTGTACCAATAGATCTTTGCACTTTGAGCAGCATGCTTATGTTTGAACTATTTCTAAACCATACACTGTACCCTCTGTGTGCCCAATATTCACATTCCCCTGGCAGCTCTGTCTGATCCCATGTGCTTTCTCTGGGAGATGCCTTCTCAGAGGAGATGCAAGAATTGCTGTGGGGGTCAGATTGCTTCCTAATGGAGGGCAGTGGATATCTTATGCCCTGGGGCAGGAGGGTTATAACCTATGTTACAGGTTGTCTATACTGTATAGAGATACGAGTGTTATAACCCATTTACATACATCTGTATTAGCATTATAGCCCACTTTAAGCACCTACATAGGTACATAGGCTTATGCCAAGCCTATTTGCAAAGTAAAGGACCTGCTGCAATGAAATTAGTTCAGCAATCCACCCCCAGACATTGCCTTTATTTATCTTCCCTTCTCTGGCTGATCCCACACTGATGCACAGCCCAAAGGGCTCTCAGGGCTGCTCCCACTTCTCAGGTCACAATGTGTTCTGTGTCACTGCTACAGGGAGCTCATTACCTTCTGCCTTCCATGGTAGAGCTGACACCACAGGGCATGAAAATCCTCGTGCACAATGTGTTTGGTGGCACTGACTGCTTGTTTCACAAAAACTCTGTATCAGAAAGCAGCAGTCTTACCCAAACGTAACTCCTTGCCTGCTTCATGATATGGAACCCAGGGGAAAAAGTAGTTCTTGTTATGAGAAGTGTATCATTTTACAACTTTTGCTCTCCTCTTCCTTTAGAGTTTCACCAAAATCTCATGATAAAAAGCATGATGACAGCGTGACCGAGGAGCATCCTTGGCTGTTCTGTGGTTATAGTCAATCCAGGCCTTAAACTGAGCCCCAACCCCTGCCGCATTTCTATCTCCAGCCCCTACCCCAGTTCCATCTCGATCCCCATCCCCAGCCGCCAGCCCATCGCTGGTAACGGTGTGCTTGCAATGCCATCTAGCGATCATCGCGGCTGATGAGCTCCAGGAGCTGTTTTTCCCCTCGGTACTCCCACCTTCCTCCCTCCTCCCGCCGCCGCAACATCCAATTAGGCGGCTTAAAGCCCGAGAAATGAGGTGTGCTAACAAGCAAGCATGAGAGACAGAAGCACTGCTGACCCCGTGTCGTTTGCAAGCTGTGTAGTGCATCCTCATCAAGTAGCACGGCTTAATTGGCTTGCTAAAGGCATCATTACTGCCAGGTCCAGCCTGCTCCCAGGTGTGTGGGGTGGTGGGTGACAACCGCTCATGGCCACCCGGTCACCTGCACTTCCATAATTAGTGCTGTATGTGGGCACCACTTGCCCCTTATTCTCTTGGTAAGGTGGCTTAAAAGGTCACAACACCTGTAACGAAAGGTCACTTCAACATCTGAAGGGGAACTTAAGGGAAAGAAGGGGGCAGGTTCTTCAGGAGGGCCAGCTGTGATAGGACGAGGGGAAATGGTTTCAAGCATAAAGAGGGCAGATTTAGGTTGGGTATAAGGAAAAAGTCTTTTCTGGTGAGGCACTGGAACAGGCTGCCCAGAGATGTGGTGGATGCCCCATCCGTGGAGACTTCAAGGCCAGGCCGGATCAGACTCTGGGCACCCTGCTGGAGCTGTGGTGTCCTTGTGCACTGCAGGGGAGTTGGACTGGATGGCCTCCAGAGGTCTCTTCCAGCTAAGGATTCTATGATTGCATGCACAAGACCCAGCCTGCAGAAGGCAGGAGGAAGCCTGCCTTCCTCTCAGCAGAGCAGCTTCAGAGGAGCAAAGCCACCACACTGAATCTCAGGGCACTCTATATCAATGCTACTATTTTTTTTTCCCCCCATATTTCTTTCTCATACCTTAAAATTAGAACCTTGAAAACTACTCCATGCCCCAAAACCACAGCAGAAAAGAAGTGTGATAGATCCCATATCAAATACCACTACCAGCCACCCTAATTGTTTCAACTAAAAGGAAGTGGGAGCAGTTGACATATAAACACACAGTGAGAAACAGCATGTAACTGGAGGTGAACTACTCGGATCATAGCAAAACAGAAGGAAATCCATCAGACACCATGAATGCCCACCCAAACATTACTTTGGACTTAACGCAGCTCTGCTCGTTTGCTGTGACAATTATTATCTAACTAATGGACATTTTTTGAGCCAATCAAGCTTGAGACAATTGGCCTATGGCAATTAACTCTATTAACTCTAAAATTAGAATTCAGATAATTTAAACATGAAATATGTATCTCATAGGAAGACAAATCTGCTGGAGACTGCCATATTTAGATTGCACAACATATTCCAATTTAGTTAACTCTCCAACTCACAAGAGCTCAGGCAACACTTTTCTGCAGCCACATTGCACAAGAGAAATGTCATAGGATCATAGAATGGTCTGGGCTGAAAAGGAGCACAGTGCTCATCCAGTCCCAACCCCCTGCTGTGTGCAGGTCACCAACCAGCAGCCCAGGCTGCCCAGAGCCACATCCAGCCTGGCCTTGAATGCCTGCAGGGATGGGGCATCCACAGCCTCCTTGGGCAACCTGTGCCAGTGCCTCACCACCCTCTGGGGGAAAAACTTCCTCCTAATACCCAACCTCCCCTGTCTCAGTTTAAGACCATTCCCCCTCATCCTATCACTATCCACTCTTGTAAGCAGTCTTTAAATGTTGTATGCATTTTTTTTCCATTATTTGCATTTCAAAGCAATAGACTTTGTATACACCAAAGGTTTGGGCAGCAAAAGCATCAGCACAAACAGCACTAATGCCCTCACAGTGTGGTAAGATCACACATTCCTTCATTATGTTTTCTTTCAGTCTAACTATTCAGAAAGTCTGTCTACAAGAAAGTGAAACGCATTCAAGCGTTGATCTTCTTTTGTCCACTAAACACTTTATCTTTCACTTTTACTTCTTATTTTATTTCAGCTCATTAGCGATCCCATGTAGAAAGATCCCTTTGAGTTAATGGTGTTCAGATCTATTGATATGGAGCATCCTTGGTCTGTTGAATTCTGGAAGCGTAACATCTGCCTTCCATTGAGGAAAAATAAGTGAAGAATTATTGTTTCATGAATTTTATGGAAAGAATATCATTAATGACACATAAGGAGACTGCTTATTTAGGATATATGCCCCTTAGTACAGATCTCCCATACGTTAGCACCTAAAGGGAAGGGATATGCACCCCCACTTCAGCAGCAAGGCAGTTCCTGTGGTTGAGACAGCAAGAATGGAGAAACCAAAGTATTCATTGTCCACATTGAGCACAGAAAGCACCCAGAAGTGTCACAGAACTCCAACCACCTCCCTGAAATGCTGTGGTCTCTACTGGTGGCATTGCCAGGGGGAACTACTGCTGTGTGGGGAATTGGAGCATCGCCATTTGTGCACGTGTGTCACAACATCCTGTGTGTGCTCCCTTCAGAAGTGAAATGGTTATGGTCATACAGGCAACAAGCAGGTTGCAACATTCTGCTTTTCCAAGGCACATCTTTTCATCACTCACCTGGTCTAAACAGGAGATCGGTGTCAAACATGGGCTGCCCTGCAGCTGTTCCACTGCACAAGGCGCAGCAAGTTGTGAGCATCTTGTTCTACTGCAATAGAGTGCGAAGAAACCCCTTGAGAAACCCTTTTTATTTTTTTTGCTTCCATTACTAAGCAGGCTATTAATTACTGCAAAACTTATGTTTAATGGAAAGACATTGCAGAACATGTCTCCTTGAGGACCTGTTTTGTTTTTGAAAGCCTAAGTGTTTACATCAGGCGTTGTGATTTATTCTCAAATCGGCTGAGACTCGCTGTGCTGGACTGTGGACAAAACCCATTTATTTCCCAGCCTGGGAAGGCCATCCATCAAAGAGAACACGGGGCACGTTGCCAGCCAGGAGCCTGTGAGCTGGGTGGGGAGGGAGCTGCTCAGCCATCCCTGTTCTGATTTCCTCCCAAAGCTCAGCAAAATAATGGGAAACTTCTGCTTGGGAGTGAATGGGGGGGAGCATCTTTGGCTCTTTGTCCTTTTCCTGCTGATCTTCTCCAAAAGAGCAGTTGGGCATTGGCACAGCTGCCCAGGGACTGGTGGGGTCACCATCCCTGGAGGTGTTGCAGAGCTGTGGGGATGTGGCACTGAGGGATGTGGGCAGTGGGCACGGTGGGGTGGGCTGGGGATCCTAGCAGACACTTCCAGCTTTGATTCTAAGATCCAATGGCAGGGCACTGAGGGGA